CAGCAGGACTGCTATTTTGAATGTTTCCACTCTTAGTTGATTAAGTTTCCGTAAGCTTGGTTACTTGGCACAGATGAGAAAGCTATCCTGCTGCTAAGTTTCTATTTCTTTTCAGTGGTTCTCAGACTTCAGTGTTCTTAAAATCATCTGGGTGAGGGGGGTCTAGTTAAAAATGCATATTGTGGCCAGTCGTGGTGGCTCAATAGCAATAAAACATTCCGTGATGCAGAGGGCACTCCCACATTGTCATCATAGGGTCTTATTGAACAGACTGGGGGCAGGGCTTATGCATGTACCTTTGATCCTGGCCAGCTGAGCCAGGGGGTGGATCATGGTGTGAAGAAGACCTATTGAGGGTCTCTCTCTTTCTCTCTCTCTCTCTCACAAGAAATAAATAACTTTTGAAAAAGTGTATATTTTCCACTCCACCCCTAAGATATGGATTTAGTAGATCTAGAGTGGGGCCCAAGAATCTGCATTTTAACAGTGTCCTGGGGAGTCTGATAGAGCTCACAGAGATGTGGGCACATGACCTTCTCTTTCTTTCAATCACTGGATGAATAGAAAAACCTGATTCAAATTAGTTCTTTTACATTTACTGTCCTCATGATAATAACTTGAACAAACTAAATAACTCTGACTATAAAACAAGTGTCCATACCAATTAATCCTGTCTGTCCTGCAATGACATAAATTACATACCATGTCATAAATGAAGTTTGTGACCCAGTAGCATGTCACCCCAATGCCCGAGATGTGCTGCAGCTGCTTGGCTTTGGTCTGATGTTCCCTTACAACATAGGTGACAAAGCTGGCGGTGGTGACAGAGTAGCCCATCAGGATGGACAGCGCCACTAAAATATCGATTAAACTGCTGATTCTGTAGTGAGCAATAGGGAGAGGAAAGCACACGTAAGTTTTTGCAGCCCTTTTCCTTTCAAAAAGATTCATGACTAAAACTATCAACAAAACAGTATAAGAGTTGGCTGCAGCACAAGTAAGTTTTCCTGCAAGGCAGCCAGATAATATTTTTGACACGACTCTGCTGTGACCCTGGAATAAATGTAGCACTAGTGTATCTGAATTGACTGAGGATATTTGATAGAAAAACCTTAGTCTCCCTAGGTTACAGGGTGTATGCAAGGGATATATAGTTCTTGAGCATAGAAATGGTACTTAAACGCTATGCAGGAAGTTGAAATGATGAAGCACTTAAGCACTTGACTCATCAAGGCAAGAGGCTTGGTGAATCTGCAGTCAACAAGCTCTACTTGGCAAACCTACTCTACATCCTTTCAGAAGCTTTCTTTTATCCCAGTCAGTGACATATCACCAGCCCTTCCAGACTGACATTCATTCAGATAGGACTGTGATTTCCAATTTTAGTACTTTAGATAGAGGCTCAGCTATGCCAAGAAGAAAGTAGCTATGTCAGAAATCTCTGCTTACGTGGCTTGTTCTTGGTCTTGCACTCCTGGATAAGGATGGCTATACATGATGATGCCTTGAAGAAAAGAGTTCTCCTATTAGCAAGTTTTTAATTAATCAGAAATACCAATTTTCAGATAAATAATATATGATATCTTTTAAAAATTATTTTATTTAACTATATTTATTGTTTTTTTTTATTTTTTGAATTTGATCAGAGAAGGATAGAGCAAGAGAGAGGGGGAAAGTGAGAAAGCAAGCCTCCAGGTTCAGGATTCGAGCCATGGTCAGCCATGTGGGAGTGGGAGTCCAGAGGCCTTAACCACCACATCACCTCCTGGCCCCATGATATCTTCCTCCTTATGGTGTGTCTAAAGAATTTTACTTTAGAAATCCTGTTTTAAAGAGGAATGATTTTCTTCCCCCTAGTCCACCAATGCCATACCATTGAAGGCATTTACATAAAAAGAAAAGTTTTCACATTGTACATGGGACCTTTGGGATGGGGATAAGAAGTACATTGCTTCCGAAGCATTTCATCCTCTCTGACATTTAAATAATTGTCTTCCACTTTCTTCTCTCTATCTTGTCATGCACATGTCTGAAATTCATCAGCACTTCAGAAACATATTACATATAAATAAGCAGTCCAAGGGGGATCAATTATATGAGGGTACTCAAAAGAGCTGCTATTTCTATTCCCATCCTTCCTGCTATGTTAAGGCTATGATAAGGAAATACTGTACTCTGAGAGGACCCTTCCTTTTCCTTTACTATGTCTAAGATGTTCCTTGTTCAAGATCTTGACTGCAGTAGGATTTGGGAGCTTTAGCCACACCCAAGGTATTTTATTTGGGACATTAATATCAGGGAAGATTCAGAGGTATTATCTGGCTTCAGAAAAGCACTTATTTAATTCTAATACTGTCCCAAATTTTTAGAAAATCCCAGAGTTGGTTTTATTTTCCAAGTTAGAAGGGAAGCTCTTTTCTTCCCTGCCTTAGAGGCTCTTGGTCAGTCAGAGTCAAAGAATGAGCTGGCAACAGTTTCCCAAAGTACCACAGTGGGAAGGCCAAGACTACATTGTTTGAGTAACTGAAAAGAGGATTTCTCCTAAATACTTGCTGCTGCTGTTTCTTTTTTTTTCTTTTTCTTATGTGTGTGTGTGTGTGTGTGTGTGTGTGTGTGTGTGTGTGTGTAGAGGTTTTTGCCTTAGAGCACATGAGCTTTCCAGAGGGAGAGAGAGAGACAAAGACAGAAACAGTGAAAGATAAAGTTAGAAATCACCCCCCGAAAAGGATGACCACACCACAATCCCTTCTCCTCCTTTCTCCTCCTGGGATTTTGGGCACACATGCACACACAAACACATAATTTTCAATTCACTGGGTCCAAGACTTGAACCACTGATGACCATATGGGAATCCAGCTACATAAACACTAAGCCACCTGCTGGCCCTAATTTTTGCTTCTTTAGAGTAATAAATAGAATGAGAACTTTCTCACTTACTGCTTGAATAGTATATGCTTCTTGTACTAGGATATTTAGGCCCACACAGACCCAAATATTATAGATAAATCTACATTCTCTTCATTAACTTAAATTTATAGTTTTTATTAAGTAGAATGGGACATACTGAGGTAAGTTCTGCAACTGTTTTATGTTAAAAAAATAGTACTAGCCAAGCCTTGGTGGAGCAGTTGTATCATGCCACTTTGTAATACTTGAAACGTATGGAAGAGGGACATACAGTTCTTGGGTGGGCCTGTGCATGACGGGCATGCACATGGATTCCCGTGATCCCGGCTGGCTGGGAAGGTTGGGGAAGGACCATGATGAGAAGGACCAGGGCATGAAAGCTGTTTAAGGATGCCTATCCTTTCTCCCACTGTGTCTGTTTTTCTCGTGAACTAACTAAATATATACACTTAAAAAACAAACAAACGAACAAAAAAATAATGTATATATAGCTAAAGCAAAACAAAGAAACCGAATAACAAAAACCCAAGTTGACCTATGTATAGTTCTAATCACATCACTGGAAGAACGTACTTTTCTTATCTTTTGTGTAAATTAATGTGACTCTTTTAAAACTGAGATTTGGGGCCAGCAAGTGATGTGGAGGTTAAGACACTAGACTCCCACATGACTGACTACAGTTTGAGTCCCAGATCTGGCAGCTTGACATATCACACTGGGCAAGTGTGTGTGTATGCCCAAAATCCTGGGAAGAGAATGGAGAAGAAGGGATTGTGGCATGGCCATCGCTCCTGGGGGGGGTGATTTCTCACTTCTCCTCTTTCTGTTTTTCTCTTCTCTGGTGAGTGAGTACACATGCCCTATAGCAAAAACTTTAAAAAAGAAATAATTGAAATTCAATTTTCCTTGCGGCTCTCTTTAAGCCCTATTACTAAATGATAGAATAGACAGGGAAAACTTTTCTATTTCTGCTCTGTATTTCAGAATCAGGAAATACTTCACTTCACTAGAAGAATCTTTGCAAATACATTTTACTCCACTATGCTGAATCCTGGGGATCAGTTGTTTTCGTACATATCTTTAGCTGAAAGATCCAGTAATTATATCAAGGTAAGCAACCTAGATCTCTGTAGGGTTTCCAACAACCAGCATAATGTCTTAGAGTGATTAATGACTGTTTATAAAGAAAATCAAGTATTGACATTTCAATAATTTTTCTCCATACATACTATATATTTAAAATAAGACTTTTTTTGTTGTCTGTACACTTGTAAACCTAAAGACAGAGGCCTTCCATTGACCATGCTACTCATGCAACCGAGAATAGCAATGAACCCTGGAGCAGAAGGGGCCATGTGTTAGTATTTTTGGAAAAGAGCTTGCTTTGAAACATTGCTTGGGAACATAAGCTAACCCATATTATTTGGGAAAAAAAAAGCAGAATTTTTATGTTAAATTAACCACTAGAGGGAACCACATGAATATCACAGATACTGGCATTGCAAAGAAAAGCTAATTAAAAGATCTTTATTAGCATGATAGAATCCAAAGAAAATCAATTTTACAGCTAAAGTAAAACCCCAATTCATGCAGAATCTAACAAAGACACCTTCAAACAAGTTGTTTGTTGAAGAAGATGGCAGGAGAATAATTGGGTTGATTTTTAAAGACAAGTAATATTATCAGGGTAGATCTGACACATGGATTATAAAGCAAAAAAAGACTATTTTAGAGTGATACAGATTTTTTTCTTCTTTTTTTGGGGGGGTGGGGAGAAAGGATTTTGCTATAGGGCGCGTGTGCTCACCAGACAGACAGAGAAAGACAGAGAGATAGAAAGCAAGAAATCACCCCCCAGGGAGGATGGCCACTCCACAATCCCTTCTCTTCCATTCTCCTCTCGGGATCTTGGGCACGCACATACTCATGCCCGGCGTGAGTTTAAACCACCGGGTCCAGGATGCGAAACGCAGTCGACTACATAGGAGTCCTGAGACATACCATTATGCTAACTGCTGGTCCCTAGATTTCTTCTTTAAAAAGAAATCAAACTTCATCTACAGATGGTAAAAACCTACCATTTTCATAAATCTATGTAAGAAAATTAAAGAAAAGAAAGCACACCATTATCTATGTAACTTAGGTTAAATCTTATTTTTAAATTAAAAAAATAAATTTCAGTTTAGGGTCAATATAAAATTTGTGTTATAGAAGTTTTTAATCTTTATACTATACTCTATAATTTAAGATGCAATTATAAGGACTGTAGTAAGCCTTCCGGTGTCTGAGTGACTCAATAGTCTCATTTTAAGTAAAGAACACTAATTATAAAGGAACCAAGAATACAGGTTTCAGAAGACTGACCCCTCAAAAGTAGCATTGGTCTTTTCTTCTCTGTATCTTTGCTGCATTTTCCCCTAGTTATTTCTCTGATTCTTATACTTTCATTGTCTGTCACAACAATAAATGTCTTTTGCTCTGAATAAGACATCCTACTGAAAGCCGAGTGTTCAATAGTATTTCAAACCAGGTTACTCTTGACCTACCCAGCTTTAGTCACCATTTAATTTAATTTGCCACCTTTGCCTATGCCCTTTATTGATGCTGAGGAACTAAGGACTATCAATCTTGTGCTTTTTTTCATGGTTCTTCCTGCAGGAAAATACCAGAGCAGGTGTGAAAAAATGGGCCAGCCAGTGGCATAAGTGTTTAAGGCAGCTGTATTCCACATGGCCAACTGTTCATTTCAAATCTTTAATCTGCAGCTTAAAAAACATGCAGGACACATGTGCATACATGTCCAAATCCCCAAAGGGAAGAGACAGGGAGGAGAAGGGACCGCAATGTGGACATCCTGAAGGGTGAGTGAATGGGAAGGGGTGCTTTCTCACTTTCTCTCTCCAGAAGGAAAAAGAAAACAATAGAAACCTATGAATTCTGTTGCTAAATGAATAAGTGATTCTACAGTTTACTTCTATAATCACTATTATACCCAGCAATAAGGAGATGAAAAAAAAAAACCAGTAGACACTGGCATTTCTAAAAGATATGTTGTATCTTTTTTCCTACTTAATAGACTATTTATTATGTGAGAAGCTCAGGCTTGGCCAGCAAATAAATTACTCAGTTTTTCTTCAACTTTTTTATTATTTTCTTTTAGAATCGCTATAGAAAAATAATTTTACCAAGGCTCAAGAAGATGAAATGGTCTGATGAACAATAATTGAATTAGAAAAAAAAAATCAGTCTCTTTCAAATTCTAAACCTTATTTTTAAAACTATGTGGAGGCCTCTTGGAAAAATCCAACTGAAGAAAAGTATGGAGTATTATTGTAGAAAAATGAATAGACAGAGCTCAAACAGCCTCTAAGTTTAAATCCCACTTCCAGGTCTTAGAGATATGATAGTAGGAAATAGTTTAACACAAGTGTTACTTTCAGATATACCCATCATAAGCTGAAAATATTGTAAGTTGAAAATGCATTTAATATACCTACCCCATAAAATATCATTGGTCAGCCTTGCTTACCTTGACATGCTCAGAACTCTTACATTAGTCTTCAGTTGGGCAAAAATCATCTAACTCAAAACATTTTTTTGTAAGAAAGTATTGACTATCTTATGTAATTTATTCAACACTGTGCTGAAAGTGAAAAGCAAAATGGTTGTATGGGTTCCCAAAGTGTGATTTTTATTGACTATGTGTGACTTTTGTACCATCATGAAGTAAAAATATCCTAAGAGGAATAATGTTAAGTCAGGGACTGTCTGTCCCTACCCTAGAAGGTGCTGTAAGGACTGACAGTATTTCATACGAAGCACATGTCCCATGGTAAATGTGCTCAATAAATGGTAACACTTTTGCTCATGTGTAGAACTGTTTAGTTTAGAAGTTGTGCCTTGTATTTAGATTTGTGAATGATATTTATAAGCATTCATTGCTTATAAAAATATTTAAAGCCTATAGACAAATGGTTAAAAAATTTTCCCTATGAGCTATAAAAATTTCTCTAGATGGGAGAGCAAACATGAGTGTGAAATTAGCATTATTAACCTGATGTGATAAATGAGGAACCTAAATTAACCTGAAGTTAAGGGAATTATCCATCTGGTGGTAGTTACTACTTCCAAACTCCCTTTAAAGACGTGTGATTTAGATATCATAAAATACCCACTACTGAGAGGAAACAGAATACAACATGCATTTTTAAACAGAGACTAGCAAAAGTTAAATGGGAGACGCTTCTGTGTATGGAACTTTACCGTGTCGGGCAGCATCGTATTCTGACATGTTAATTCTCAAGAGGAAATTATTCAGGCTGTTGAGGTAAGCTGGCAGAGAGTGATAGCCTTCTGGATCATACCACACCTATGAAATCCCAACAGAAGGGGCAAGATCAATATTGTTGTCTAAATATCTGGCATGCTACCTTATTTAGATTTAAAATATGAGCACCAATTTTCCCCAAACATTTTACGTTGCTGAGTTATGAACTATCCCCCAGGGTGTTGACCACAGACTTATATTTTTGACATAGGCAAAGATTGGGAAGCCAGTTGTTCTGTGGGCTAGCACGGAATTACTAGTTATTCTGAATCTTCTCCATAGCAAAGCTTGACATAAACTGGAGAAATCATTGTTATCTCCATCTCCCTGGCAGATCCATGGTGATTCTAAGACCAGAACTAAAGTATCCTGGCTCTCAGTTATAGTAATAAAAACAAATGACAGGCTGGAGAAAGAAAAATACATACGTAAGTACTGTGTTCTTAGCAGCAAATTGATCATCTTAAAATTTTCCTGCTACCTTTAAATTTTTTCTTTTAATTTTATTTATATCATTATTATTTTTAATTTACTGTAGGGCATGTGCATGAGAGGGAGAGAGGGGAGAGGGAGAGAGAGAGAGAGAGAGAGAGAAAGAAAGAAAGAGAGAAAGAGAAGCCACTAGGTCTGAGATTTGAGATTTGAATTGTACTCGGCCATGTGAGAGTCCAGCACCTTAACTGCCTTTCCACATGCTGGTCTCCTCCCACTAATTTTCTGTTCCTAGTTATAACCCACAAGACAGTGAGTTACTTTGTCTTCTATGTCAAAGACAGAAGGGTTTAAAATTCAGTGCACCCCAAGTCAAGAAACCTAGCTGACAGTTCAAAATTATGAATTTGATTTAGAGAGATACTATTTTACATTACAAGTTTCCTTGTTTATGCAAGAATATTTGCTTTATGTGTGGAGAGAGGGAGGATAGGAAGAAAACAGGAGACATTGCAATCTCTAGCATTGGGGCTGGCAGGTGGTGTGGTGGTTCCCACATGATGGCTCCTGCGTGGCCAACTGTGGTTCAACTCCTGTACCTGGTGGCTTGCTTTCTCACTTTCCCTCTGTGTGTGCGTGTGTGTGTGTGTGTATGTGTGCCTAGTTAAATTAAAATATTAATTAATGAAATTAAATACATACTTTTTTTAATAAAGAATTCTTTAGCATTCAGTTTACTTTCTATATGATCTTGTGAAAGCCAGCTAAAATATACACAATAGTATTTATCTCAAAGGGATGTTATGAGGAGGGAATGAGATAATTTGTGTAGAAGGAGATACTAGTGCTTATTATATGACAGTCACTAAATGGATATTAGCTGCCTCCCTTCCTTCCAAGGCTGTGCATGTCTCTCAGTACTAAATGAGATGTATGTGAAGGACAATTTAAAATTCATAAAACTGCTATTGATCTTACGGGTAATCATGTGTGTCTGATTCTGTAGTTCTAGCTTGTTACAAAGCATAGGTATGATTTAGAAGGGAAAACAAGGGCAACAGAATTGTTGACCTCCATCAGATTAAGTTTCTGGGTTCTTTATAGAAAGCAGCTAAACATAAGTGCATGTTTCCATTTTTAAAAAAGTTCTACACATAATGAAAAGTACAGTGCTAGCTCGGTGGCACAGCGGTAGTGCACTGCTATGGAGAAACCGGATCCTGCATGGTATCTGAGGCTGGAATTCCCACACTGGACATGTGCATGAGTGCTTGAAATCTGACCGGCTAGGGGACTGGAAGAAGGGAACTGTGGCATGACCAGGCCCTGTGGAGGATGCTCCTCTCTATCTCATATTCTCTCTCTCTCACTCTCACATGAACATGATGTGTTGTGACTGAAGAAAAAACTTTAAAGAATAAAATGCATAAAATGTAAATATACAACAAAAATTAGAAAGGGAGCATACTCAGTAAATTATCATACAGGCTGAAAAATACATACTGCCAACATCCAGAGCACCTTCTCTTTGAATCTCTGTATTTTCCCAAAACGCGATACTCCCCCTTTTCCCTTATGATTGAATCTTACCTATTCTTGAAGTTTACAGTAAATTCAATGGTCGTCCATGTATTGCACTTTTCCTTTTGTCAAGTTTGGGAGATTTAGCCTACTTGTCATATGGAGTTCTCTCTCATTTCCATTGCCAAAAGTTCCACTGAATTAATATGAAATAACTTATTTCTTTATTCTACTGCATATGGACATTTGGGGCTGTGTTTTTGGCTATTATAATAAATATTACTATGTACAGTTTTGTACATGTATTCTGTACACATTTTCCTGAGGTATAGACACAGGATTGGAATCACCTTGCTATGGGGTTTGCATAGTACCAAAGTGATCATATCCATATTTTGTCTTTACCTCATGAAAATGCTTAAACATATCAATTTCACATTCTCATTTGTATGACATCCCAGGAGAAAGATCATAATTTACCTTGGCGAGTGTTCTATTGGCAGGAACTGCTGTTACATCAAAACGAAGGTCTTTTGTCAAAGGCAACCCAAAGCTCCAACCTCCATATCTAAAGAGGGTGATAAAATTTATATTTGATTTAATGGAGAAAAATCTTCATAAAAGGATCTAAAATACTTAAGTAGGAAGGAGCTCATTATTTTTTTTCTATTAGGAACGCATGTACAGTATGAAATAAATATTGCCTGACAAATATTTTGCATTTTTATCAATTTGCTTTATCACATTTTAGTCTTAAGTATATATTATAAATAGAGGTGAAAAAATCATTCTAAACAGTTGCATATGTACAGTAATAATTCTGAACATGAGTGACATGACATATAGTCTAATCAATGACTCCATCTTAACTAACCTATTCACCATCTCAAAGATTTTAATATTTTAGTGGTTAAATATCTTTTTTAGGTAATTGATACTAAAATGATATAACATCAGTTCTTATCTTTTTTCAAGTGGTTCAGTTTCTTCCATACCCCCCAATTTTTTTTCCTCTAGCTTGCCCACTGCTGCTATACTTTTTCTCCTCCTGGATATTTGAAGGTGAGATGGGCCTATTTAACTACCTGGCAGTTCATGGTCTCCTAAAAACAGAAGAAAGAAAAAAAAAAAAAAAAGAAAAGGAAGAAAAGAGAAAAAGAAAAAGAAAGATTTCAAACATCCAAGTAGAATTTTTAAAGAATTTATTTTATTTATTATTACTGTTTTTTATTTGCTCTAAGACATATGTGCTCACCAGAGAGAGACAAAGGAGAAAAGTCTGAAAGCAAGCCACCAGGCCCAGGACTCAAAGCACAGTCAACCATGTGGGAGTTCAGTTCTTTAACCACCATACCTCCTGCTGGCTTCCCAGGTAGTAATTTTAAGAATATACTAATTTAAATTTCTTCCAAATTAGGACTGGGTTAAATACATGATATAGTCACACTAGAATAATCTCCGCGTGACTGTCATCCCAAATGTGATGGCATGGAGCTACATTTTTTAATATACAAATAGCAACATAATATATTGTTCACTTTTTTTTAAAGGTAGGTTTCAGGGGACCAGCAGTTAGTGTAATGGCTATGTCGCTGGACTCCCACGTAGTTGACCACAGTTCGCGTCCCAGACCCAGTGGCTTAAAACTCAGGCCAGTCATGCCCAAGATCCCAAGAGGAGAATGGAGGAGAAGGGATTGCGGCGTGGCCATCCCCCCTGGGGGGAGTGATTTCTCGCTTTCTGTCTCT